TTTGTTGAAGTGCAAACATGATTGATTGATATTCATTAAATCCATTCCAAAATGAGAAAAGATCATTAAAATATGCTATTGTGAAATATAGGATTCTGAGCTAAGATCTTTGCAAAGTATTTTTATATCCTATTCCTTGAAAGAGTTAATGAGAAAGGGAATTTATAAACAATTTGTTGGTATTTTTGGTTATAAAAAGACTTCTAGGTATATCAATAGATATATTTGGTTCATTTCCCTTAACTTTAAATGTTTCTTTTACCTGAAATTCTTAATTTTATCATAGCATTCTATTCACTGATATATTTTTTTCAGCAGTTGGGTAATTCAGACTMCAGACTTTTGAAGTCAGAGGAGACAGCTGGATTCTTTTCATCTGTACTACTGACTTCTACCCTGCTATTTTTACTTCCACTGACACCTGCTAAATCAAGAAATTGTGATTTTCTTAGGTATTAAATCAACATTTGTAGAAGTTCATATGAAAAAAAAATTACTACCTTTTACAAGTAATTTTCAAGTTAAGCACAATGTCGTCTTAATAGCTACATAATCAAGGAGCAAAATACATACACTKTACAAAGAAGAAGAAAACCTAGGTCTTGTCTTTCTGTTTGAATTTCTTCACTTAGATTTCTAASAGTGATTGGAATATCCAGGTTGACATCAAAGCAAGAAATCCATATTGTTTTATTTAGTTTCATGTCAGAGACAAATAATTTGTAATGATTTTGTTAAATTCCATGCTAACACATGGTAGGCGCTCAACAAATTTATGAGTAAAAAGAAAAACAAGTTTGATAACAAGAAGATTCTTGTTTTAACAGTCTTTTACACTTTCTGATGACATGGTRTTGAAATGATATAATAATGGGATATGTTAGCTATTAATTAAATACTTGGCACTCCCCATTAACATTTATTCCAATTTTACTATAAAAATAAGTTAATTAATTAATATAATACAAAATAAAGACATTTTAGTGATTTTTTTTTCTTTTGTGAGTAAGGAGAAAGTGTTCCTCGTTTTAATATAGATGAGTGATACTATAATGATTGAAATGAGAGAAGCCAAAAAGACCATTTCATATAGAGTCATCTGTAACTTCTGCAAAATCCATCCTTACTTCTGGARCTACCAGAAATGAAAACCCAGTGTTTGTTCAAAACAATAAACACCAAATGGAACATAAAACATTTCCTTTCTATCTGTACCTAACCTTTAAATGTACAAAACAATTAATTAGTTTTAAATCAAACAACCTCCTCTCTGAGTTTATTGTGGACCAAGGTTACTGCCAAGTGACTTAATCCAGGATCTTCTCTTTTGTTTTCATGGAAGCCCTGTGTGAGAGGTTTTTCCAATTTCCAGTTTACAGATGAAGAAAATGCCTGTTAGGGGTTAAGTGATATGTCMAAGTCATAAAAGAATGACCAGCTCATCTGATATCTTCTTTAGAATTTTTACTAATGATACTTTTATAGTTTCTTCCAGTTATTTTATTCCCACTGTGTTCCCCAGTAGGGAGTTGAATTTCAGAAAGCATTTYATTGCAAACAAAAAGGTTTTCAAAATCAGAAGTTTTTACATCTTCAGAGGTTTTTCTAATAAATATAAAATTAGCTTATGAAGTTATTAATATTCAGATAATTGACACTCATCATTAACATTGCAATTTTACTATCAAAAATCAGTTGATTAATTAATATAATACAAAACAAAGAAATATATAACTATCACGTTAATAGCAATGAAAAGCTAAAATAAGTTTTTAATTATGGACTATTTTATTGATTACCTATAAAATTTTTCTAACTGGAATGATGCATGATTAATTTGAACAATTTTTCAGTTTGGTTAAATATCAGATACTAAAAATAAAACATTTTTATAAAATAGGTAGAATTACATTTTTAGCTTCCTTAAGTATTTCATGGATATGAACTACTACTCTGAAATAAGCTGGTTTACAGTAAAAATTCTGAAGAAAACATGTATTTTTCTTAAAACAGCTTCCTCATTAATAGCAATGGATATGTTTTCTCACCACAATGTTTTATCTGTAGCATCCTTCTTTATTAATTTGTTACAACATTAGATCTGAAAGAAGAATGGAAATATGAGTCAGCTACCTCTGTGGTTTAGGAAATCATACTTAAATCGCCTTGTAAAGTAGCAGCAGCAGCAGTTCAAAGTGTTTCAATCCCATTTGAATCTAAACCTATTGAATCCTAAATCAGGGTTCCACAGTGAACAACACTTTCTGAAGAAGCTATTGAAAAATCCCTCAGGGCAGACAGAAAGAAAAACAAGATAGAGAGGATGTGGCCCAAAGCATGCTAATTACTCTTCCCTGGACCTCAGAGATGCTTTTACTTGTCCAAAGCAACATCTTTCTGGATGCTATACCCTCCCTACTCATTGTTCTTCAGACTATGCTTTAGCCTTGAGATCTATACATGCAAAAAATGAAAATGTTAATAAAGAAGCTTTTTCTTTCTCCAAAGAATTTCTACTAACAGAGCCTCTTCACATTTGGGACAGTTCCCAAGAAATTCTGGAGTCTTTTGTCTTTGAGAGAAAGCTCACTTTAAATAACTATGCCAGRCCCAAGAGCTTCTCATTCATTTAATTCCTCCCAACACAAAATGAGATCTAATTCCCTTATTCTTTATGGTCTTATTCAGAMAGAGTATAGTAGTAATAATCAGAATAATATTATGAGTAATAAAAACAGCTACTACTTTGTCACAACTACTTAGGTTCTAGGTTCTATGCTAAATGTATTCCATCATTATCTCATTTAAGCTTTACTGGAACTGTGAAATTAATTTAGAGCTCTTTCCATTTCACAAAAGCAAAATCAGAGGCATAAAGCCTGGACTCAGGCAGCAAGAAAACCTGTGTCTTTAATGAATATGCTGTAAGATCCCTTTTATCATGAAATACATGTGACATTTACATTAGGTACACAGTGTCCCTAACGTAATTCACAGTGTATTAAGCAAATAAAAAGTAAATTTAATCTCTTACATATTGGAATTAAATGGAAGATGACTTATGACATAGYATACAGTTTATTAATGTTAAAGGTGAAAGATATATTGCTCTGTTTCTCTAGTAGAGACTGACACAGTTTTTACCACACTCAGTCAAGTGTGTTTTGAGACCTGATGTGTCTACATTTCTACATGGAATATTTCTGTTCTTTTGATCAGTAAAATAACAACAAAGTGTTATTAATGTACATGTCCCAAATCTTGCCWTAATCTTTATGTATATTAACCTTTGCTTAGTATTCAATGAGGAAGATTAATTAATTCTAAAAGTGATATAAATGTTGATAATTCTATTTAAAGAACAAATCACTTTCAAGGACATTTGCTGTCATTCACTCACTGATTTAAATAACTTCATGTTCAAGTTTTATATGCCAGTATTTTTAGACCAGGCTTTGTCTCATCTCAGATGTACAAGATTTGAACACAACTGCCAAATCACAGCTTAAGAACATTTTGGGGACAGATATTGGCTCATYAAACTCTCCCTGCAACCACCACCACTTTGTGGTAGTGAACAACTGGAAGTCAAATTTTAGATGACATAAAACCAAATTATTAGAAAGCATGTGTTTAATCACATTCTGAGTTTCTGAAGTACTGTGACATTTGGCAACTTACAGAAAGATTTGATTTCAAGTCTCATTAGCTTTACATCTTGCCTCTCTTCCTATTTGTTACATTAATTTCCTACTGTCATTAATCCCTATAATTGACTAGGTTAATCACAATAAGACTTTATATAGATGAATAAGCTCAATAATGACACTGACACCAATTTTACTATTTTTCAAAGGTGCTAATCTTTAGTATATATAATGTGAGTTATTTAATATATTTGRCTCACTTGATATTTACCTAAATCATAGGGTAAAGGGGTAAAGTGTAGCAATAATTGACCACCAAAGGAATTAATAGAGTTGAATAAGAGATTTAGTTTCACTGAAAGTATTTATTATATATTTCATTGCCATTTAAAAATACAGTTACCTGAGKTGCTCAACTTAATTCCAAATATACTATGCTTTTTTTTTTGAATTTTCTATAGAAGTATGTTTCTGAAATTCAGAAGAAATAAATACTTGTTGAAATAGCTTTTGATGGCCAAGAATTACATTGTAGATATTATCATTTATCATTCATCCATTAATCCACTCTATCATCTATCATCTATCATCATTCACTAATAAATGCATCTATATATATATATATATCTTTTTATCTAGCATCTATATCATTCTTGCAATAAAATATTGTGTAAATCTATGCTTATTAGATTTACAAATAATAATAAAAATTGTGTCTCTCATTCAATTCTATCTAGGATACAACAGCTCCTTTTAATAAACATTATAAGCTTTAAAGTATTTCTGATAAATTTTAAAACTTTATTTTCAAAGGTAAAATAATATTTTAGTAGTTTTAAATAGCAAAAGTAAAATTAACATGTATAAATAAAATTTAAAGTTCACAAAAATCATTACACAGGAAGAGGTGTAGTATATGCTAATGTTATTTTGCACTAATATGATTTGAGAATTGCCATATTTTTAGTGGTAATTTTAGAATGATAATGTAGCTTAAATATTTATAATATTAAATGGTTCCAGTTTAGTTGTGATATGAATTTACAAATAACAGTTTAATTCACTTGAATTTTTTTTACAGCAAATTCCCCATTTTGTAAAATCTCCTCTAA